GGGAGAGAGGAAGAAACGAGGCGGGAAGAATAAGGAGCAAGAAACAGAAAGATACAGTTACAAAAGTGTGCGCCCAAAATTACAGTTGCAAAAAGGATTAAGGCGCCAATCAATCAAGGTCCTGGTGCAGCAGCAAGAAAGAGCGCGCGAACACGCAAAGCAGCGTCCAAGAAAAACAAAAATTCCAAAATTCCAAAATTCCTAGCTGGCCTGCCGATATTATAAAAAGGTCCGAAAAGAAAATCAAAATTCTGAAGGCCGTATGGCTCCGACCAAGATTCAAAAAGAAAATTCAAAAAGGAAATTCAAAAAGAGACACCGAAATTCCCGCGCGATGTCTATGCGCCCAAAAGTCCGACAAACAAAATTAAAAGAAGGGAAACGAAAGAAAAGAAGCGACGTCAACGTTTATTAATCGCACACTCGGCGCGCACTCTGCATCCATCCGACCAAGTTTCACCCCCTTTTCTCCGTGCATTTCCGAATTGTCCCCAACTGTCATCAGGGGCTCGTGCGAAAATGAAGAAACAACGAAGAAACCAAGGACACACATGCAATTTTTCCATGAACCCGTCCAGTCGACGTAGGACCCCGCTTAGCACTTCGCGTCGAAAGTCGCGCATTACAGAAGCTAGTTCGTCACATATGTGACGCCCAGGGGGTTCAAAAGATAAGCAAGCTCCTGCTTGCTATTTGACGTGTCGCTCATCTCTGATTGATTGGCCGTGGATGGTTGATCTTTCTCTGCCGCATATCGTGCGAACGAGTGTGGAAGTCATGCTGCGCGGCAGTCATGTCCTGGTTGTCGTCACTCGTGGGGAAGAGGGAAAGGAAGACGATAGGCAGACGGAGGTGTTGATGGGGGATGAGTCGGGATAGGCGGGAAGAAGCGTTCCAGCTCATCGTCCGTTTCCAGAAGGCTCCAATGATGGACGATTCTATGGAAGCGGGGAAATCGGCGGCCAGTAGTGGGGAGAGAAGCGAGGTAGTCAGGATAGAGAGTGGTGAAGGTTCTAAGAAGCGCCGCGCGAAAGCGATCACGGTCGGCGCATGCGGGGATTAACCCCGTGATGAGGCAATAAACCTCTACGGCGTTGATATGACGCCATCCAACGCTGAAAAGAAGTACATGGACAGGGAACTCAGGGGAAGCACGCCGGGAGAATGAGTGGGGATGGATTGTGACAGAGAGACGGATGGAGAAGTAGTGACGAAAAGTGTCGTGGGGGAAGGGATTGTGGGGGAAGACGGCGGGGCGGGTGAGCTGGCGCAGGGTGAGGAAGTCATGGGGGCGGAGAGAGAGAGCCCGAGGACGAAGACCGATCGGCCTCATCCCGACATGCTCGAAGTGAGGGACGGGTCGCGAGGGAGAGGGAGGCGGACGGGGAGCTGCTTCGTCGTCGGCGTCGCGGTGGGGAAGGAGGCTGGCGAGCGGACGGCCCGACCATCTGGGCCACATGGCCGTCGTCTGGCTGAGGTGGCTCCGGGTCGAGCGTTGGATCGTTGCTGATCAGAAGATCAGCAACCGGCGCAATTTCTAGCTGGGGATCCTTGTCGGCGTGCTCCTCGTCGTTGTCGTCACCGCTCCCTTGCTCGCTGTCTTCTTCTTCTGCTTCCTCCTCGCTCTCCATTTGCAGGAGCTATTCTTCGTCTCCTTCTTGCTGCTGTGCCGGCTCCTCTTCGTCTTCGTTCAGACCCTCCTCCTCTTCCTCCGAACTTTCTTCTGCGAGCTCCTCGCGGATTATCTCCTCCAATTCGTCCTCGTACGGCGGTCTGTAGAAAGCCGGATCCACGATGTTGCGCGGATCCAAATAATCCAGCCGTGAAGGCAGAATTCTCGATGGGAAGCCCTCCACACAAGCTGACCACTGAAGATACGGCGACAGCGTGCGCGAGGTGACGTGGGGCACCAAGCGCGGATCGACCTGGGAGACAATGTTGACGTCAAGATCGTCGGCCAGCTGCGCAATTGGGACCGTAAGCTCCTGGGTGAGAAGCCTCCGACAACCTGGACGCACTGCCCTGAATAGAAAACCGAGAAGGTCCCCCTCTACTTCCGTCCGCCACTCCTGAATCAAAAGGAGCTCCAATCGCTCAGACCGCGGATGGTTTCTCTCGTCCCTCGTCCACGCCACCCGTACTTCCGCCAAACACAGTGAGAGTTCGATGAAGTCTCTGTGCCACGCGTCCCACTGAGAGGGATCGAGGAGGGGAACAACCAGAGGATTTATGCAGAAGGAGAGGCGGGGATGAAGATCAGACTGCCAAAAGGTGGGGAAGGAAGAAGGAAGCTCGAAAGTAGAGATTGGGAAGGAGCTCATCGGGGATGGAAGGGGATGAGAGGGGGTAATTGCGTCGGCGGGTCACGCCGATCCAGCCGAAGGCCGTTGTATTCGATCGCTCGGATTGGTGTGATCACGTCCCCTTGGTGCACCAGGAGCTGGGTCCACTCGTTCTGAAGATTGTGCACCCACAGAAGCAACGCCGCCTTGATTCTCGTGTGTCAGCAGGGGGGGATCGCCGTGAGATCTCCACTGAAATTAACCACCAACGTTATCCGGCCAACGCCCGCAGATGCTCGCTGTCGCAACCCGACAGCTTCGGCCAATATGATCGCGTCAGCCCTCCCAACGACGTGGATCTCTGCTGCCGCGTAGACGATCTTCGAGCAGAAGAATTGCGCAAGCTGCTGAAGGTCCGGACTAAGACAAGGATGATGCACCTGCCGCAGTGTCAAATTCCCACGTGCTACCAGCGCTTCTTCACTTAGAGCTCTCTCCTCCATAAAGCTCATGGCGACGGCGAGGGTGACGGCGTATCCGACATAGATTGAGAAGGAGAAGGAGATGCAGAGGAGATAGAGTCGTCGTCGGGAGAGGTTGATGGAGAAGGAGACGAAACAGAGGGAAGAGGACGGAGATAGGACACGTGGCGTGTGATCGGGCGAGCCGATCGACTGCCGAAAACCTCAGGAGCGAGGCGCACGGTGTCCACGCCGTTGGGTCCGAGTTCAATCACTCGATACTGTCCGAAGAATCATGGCGCTAGTTTACCCTGGCGCGCTCATTTCCTTACCTGCACGATGTCCCCTAACTTATACTGGGTCATGGGACCCGCATTCTCGTTCCGGGCCTCGTAACTCCGGACCTGTCGGCCATGGGCCAATTCGGTGGACCGTTGTCGCTTCCGGGCCAGTCTAGGTAAGGACCGCTCCATAAGCTCTAGGTGTCTTTTGGCTTTGTCCCGAGCGGTGGCCCTTGTGGGGCGTCGGTTGAGTCCCGATTCGTCTGGGAGGCTCGGTATCGACACACACACGACACTATTGGTCCGTAACTGGAAGAGGCTTAGGCACGTCGATTCGTGGGGCGTTCCGCGATGGACCGCCAAGATGTGGTCGACAATATCAGGCCAGGGTCGTGGGTCACGTGCCGCAATATTCTGCCACAAGGCCGTCTTTATCACCCTATTCGAGTTTTCCACTAATCCGTTAGACAAGGACATGTGCGGGGCCGTGTGTCGTATGGAGACGCCGTGTATGACCAGGTTCCTCTCGACTTCTCCTCTAAATTCGACCCCATTGTCGGTCAGGATCTCTTCGGTGTCCTGGTGCATGCCTAGAAAACGGTTGACGTACCGCGCGATTTCCGCGGCTTGTTGTGTCTTGCAGGGGTAGGCCTCGATCCACTTAGAAAAGTGGTCGACGAAAACCAGCAGAATTGAACAGTCGCAACTATTCGGTTCTGGGGGCACCATTATATAAGTAGTATCCATACTAACCCTCTGAAACGGCCGTTCAACCACAGTTGGGACTATCGACCTAGGCGGTTGGGTTGGGGCCTTATCAGCAGCGCAGACCTGGCAGTGTTGGACGATGAATTTAACGTCGTCCCAGATATTGGACCAGTACCATTGATTTCTGTCAATCGCAGCTTCGGTAATACGCACGGCAAAATGCGCCGCCGTCTCCTCGTGGGCTGTTCGTACCCAGTCGTACCGCATAAACGGGTGCGGAACTACTAACCATGCCCCACTGCCGTCTGTTTTACGCTTTTCTAACCGTCCGTCCACCCATCGGTAATCCCGTGCTCTTTCATTGGCCCTCCTCCNGTTTTACGCTTTTCTAACCGTCCGTCCACCCATCGGTAATCCCGTGCTCTTTCATTGGCCCTCCTCCGATCCTCCTTGGAGAAGGTTTCGAGGGAGTTCCCTACCACAGTGGCTATCAAGGCGACATCTGTCCAGACTTCCACTCTTCTGAATTTCTGAATTTTGTCGGGGCCTTCCGACGTGGCATTGAGGAATCGGGCTTCCGTCGGAATCTTGTCAGTGCGACATAAGGGACAGAACCAGGGTCTATCACTACTCCGATACTGTATGCACGCACCATGAGCACGTGCGATACATTTTCGACAGTCTACCCATTCAACATATCCCCTCCCTTTAGGACACATGTGGGCGGAATAGACTCGAGAGATTGCCTCGCAGAAATAGCAAAATTTGTCAGGAAGGGAGGCGAAAGAAGAGGATGGGGAAGAAAGAGAGGGAATCTGGACATTACCTCCGTCACCCATTGCCCTTCACCGGCTTCCTGCCACGCGGAATAACGACAACTTCTCCGTACTTGGGACCGTTATTGATGTCCGGATCCTTCCACGGTGTGATTTCTTTCGCCTTTGGTACTTTACCGGGTCGGTGCAAACGTGTCTCTCCGTTTTTCGATGAACAATGTCAAATTCATACTCTTGCAACCGCACTGCCTTTCGTCCGATCATGCCCGTGTAGTTGGTTAGCTTTTTCAGAGCCAACAGAGGTTCATGGTCGTTGACGAGCAGAAACTTTTGACCGTACAAATACGGATGGAAGTGCTGGATACCCCACACTACCGCATAACATTCTCCTTGTGGCGCGGAATCGTTTCGTCGCTCGTCTGGCACCGTCCGGGAGGCGTACTCAATGGCATGCTCCTTCCCATCATTTCCCTTCTGTGCCAGAATGGCCGAGATAGCCTCCGGCTGCCAGTCGGTGATGAGAATAAACTACCGAGAGGGGTCCGGTCGAATCAGAATTGGGGCTGTAACGAGAGCATCCTTCAGGGCCCCGAAGGCCTGGTCGCATTCGTCATCCCAATGAAGGGGGTGTTCTTTTCGCAGCAGGTTTGTCAGAGGCCTTGCTATAGCCGCGAACCCCTTGATGAACCGCCGGTAATACGAGGCCAGGCCCAAGAAGGCTTGAACCTGCGTCAGTGAGGTCGGAACCGGGGCCTCTTTGACCGCCGCGACTTTTCGAAAGTCCGGCCGTAGGCCTCCTCGTGCCACCACATACCCCAAAAACGAGATTTCCGGGAGGAAGAACTCGCTCTTTTCCAGCACAATCTTGAAACCTGCGTCTCTCAACGCACCCAACGTCCATTCAATGTGTTGCGCGTGTCCGTGAAACGTGTCCGAGTACACTAGAATGTCATCCATGTACACGACGACGCAGAAGTTAATCATCCCCTCAGTCAGCCGTGTCTTATTGACGAAATTCTGAAAAGTTACGTTCATCGCCCTCTGAAACGTGGCAGGCAGATTCCCATCGGGCACCGAACCCGCTGCCACGTGCCTTCAAATAAAACGAAGGCGGTCTTGGGCCGATCTTCTTCCTTCACCAAGATATGATGAAACCCATGCCGAATGTCGAACTTGCTGAAGTAGTTGGCACACCCGATCGCATCAAGCAGATCATCAATCCGAGGAAGGGGATACACATCTTTAATCGTGATATCATTTAGCTTTCGATAATCGATGCATATACGGACTGACCCGTTCTTTTTAGGAACCAATACAACTGGGAACGACCAGGGACCGGTGGCAGACTCAATCCATCCGTTTGCCTCAAATTCCCTGATTCGCTGCAAGGCCGTCTTGTGCTCTGTCAACGAGTATCGGTACGGCTTGCAGTGGATCGGGGAATGATTCCCGGTCTGAATCTCATGCTGAACGACCACAGATAACCCAATATCGGCATCAGACACGCTAATCGCCCCTTGATATTCTATTAAAATATCAACGATCAGCCGATGGATCTCATCAGGTACATAATGGGGCACATGCAATTCATACATTTGATCCAAGATCCGAACGTTAACCTGCGTCGTATGTATACGCCGAGTAGTGTCAGGCGGTGCGGATATAAAAGAGTGATCCGATCTCCAAGAAAACACAGTGACCACCATCTGTGCTTCCTCCTCCCTGATCGCTGTATGACCTTCGGGGGTTATCCCGTCGCAGATGTCTCGCCAGGGCACGCTTTTGGGCGAGATTTTGATCCCGAGTTCCTCGGATCTTGCCTCGATGCGCTGAGGGGGTTCCAAAGAACCTGCTTCGGCCCCCAAACGCAACAACTGAACCTCTTTTGCGGGCTGAAGCAGGGATCGAGGTAAGCCAGTGAGATCACAAAAGGAACGTTTGTCATTATACCGAAGGAGGAGGGGAGATACGCCTTCGTACAAGGTCCGAGGGGGTTCCAAGGAATTAACCAGCCTCGAAATCTATACGAGGGGTTCTCCCATGATCATCATATGAGCATTTCGTGCGGTTAGATGCATGGTACGCGCAATAGTGCGAGGCGGCGGGTAGTAAATCCGCTGCCTTACTAACCGTGTAACGACTGGATCGTCATCGTCGTCGCTCCCCGCGTCGTTCGATGATTGGCCTCCGTCCACAGGTGCAGTCCAGGAGACCATGCGGAGCGCTCCCCTTGTTTCCGGAGAAATTCGGGGTACTACCTTAACCGACGTTCGAAGAGTTAGTCTCATGTGTATTACATACGGCTTTCCCCCGGTATTCCGGAGAATGACGAATCGGCGTTCGGAGTCTAAATTAGCACGCAGCGCCACCAATGCAGGAAGCCCGAAAAGAACGTCATACGTATTCACATCCAGCACCACAACATCTCATAAAGCATGCACTTTTCCCAATCGGAACGCGACATTCGTCATTCACCCTACTGTCTTGATCTTCTTCTCGTCAGCCGATACGAGCTGGTCCTTCTCGGTTAGCATAATCAAATAATTCTTCCTACCCGCTCTCTCGACTACTCGGAGTGATATCGCTAGGACAGCCGCTCCCGAATCTATGATCGCACTATACGCCACTCCCCAGGCTTCAATATCGCATTCGGCTGACTTCCACGGAATCGGGTTGATCCGAAGAAAGTGGTCATCTTTCTGTATCAATTTGACTCGGATGGGGTCAGGGGCGGCGTCCGCCTTTTCCTCCGAAGTCGGCGCCTTCGCCTTCTGATCTTTTGCACGTGCAAGGGCGAATCGCTTCCGGTTCGCTTTGCAATGCTGCATCATACGTTCGTTCGCCTGTTCCGAAATGGAGAGTAGGTGGCCGATTGGGAGAGGGATTCGATGATCCAGTGCTCGGGTAACCTCGAGGACATCGATTTCCCCTGTAACAAAGGTAGGGCCTCCCGTCTCCATTTCGCTCGACGAAGGCCTCCATTCGGCGACATCTCTGGACTCGAGTTCCGGTCGAATCATCCTAATCATTCCCAGCCTCGGGTATCCTAGTGATACATACTGCTCCAGTGGGATAAGCTCGGCTGCTTCCTCACTGGAAATCATCATTCCATTACTCCCCCCCTGAACATCCATCACGGCTCCTACACGTCCTGGGCCGTTAGTCATGGGAGTTGCAGCTGCGGGCGCGACCCCGGTTCGAGGCTGCATGGCACGATGGGGGCAATCTCAGGCCAAGTGTCCCGGTTGATGACACGTAAAACAGGCATTTGCCGCTGTCCCGGCTGGCCCCGCTGCAACTTGTGCAGCAGCCATGCCTCCCTGCATTGGTGCTCGCACCGCAATGGGTCGCATATTTCGCATCATAGCTTCTAATCGGGCGTTGTGCTCTCGCTGTTCCTTCTTGCTTTCTTGGATTAGACTAACCAATGTTTTCGTTAGCTCCAAGATAGCAGTAGACTCATTCGTTCTTGCGGGTGACTCGATGGTGGGTGGCGGTGGAGGTGGCTGAGTTACGGTTGGGGACGCCATTACCGGGATCTGCCGGTTTATAGTCGCTCCACATGGTGCGGTCCTCAATGTCACATGTTCTACATACGTGACGGGTCCGGCTACGAATCCCATGTTTTCGAATTTGTTTTGTAGGGCGGCCAGTTCCGCCCTTGCTTTCACAAGTTCGGACGAGTCTCCTTCTCTACCATAATTCTCATTTTCTAAGAAGCTAGCTGCGAATTTCCGCTCCATTTCTTCGGCAGCGTCCATAATCTGTTGCAGCGTGTGGTTAATGGGAGAGAAGTTTTTGCGTAGCTTCCCCCGAATCGTTCTGTTACGTAGTCCATCGATGAACAGGTCCCGACCTACCTGCTCGCCCCGCTCCGTCTTTACAAACATTCGATGAAATCTGTTCCGATACTCGGTAATGGATTCGAGTGGTTTCTGGACTCGATCCTTGATCATATAAAGTGCTTCTTCGGGGTGAACATAATCGAAGTGGGTCATGAAATCCCGCTCGAATGTGGGAAGATCCACCCATACATAAGTGCTATACCAATGATGGGCGTCCCCCCCCCATCCGCGCGGGGATGTTGATTTGAGCTTCATCGTTCGTATACAGCTGAGCTCGGAGCGTGGCCAACCATGCTCCGGCGAGATGGTGTGATGGGTCAAATAAATAAAGATTTGGTGGAGCCACCGGGGCTCACGCAGGCGGGTTGGGCGGTTGATTGGGGATGACCGCCGCAGCGGCTGCTGCAGCAGCGGCCGCAGCCATGGCGCCTGTTCGCCTTGTAGCGGATGTTCGGCTTCGTGTATTTATAGGACTACGTCGGCGTGTATCACCAGCTGAAGGGTGCCTACGTGGAGCCAGATCGCCTCGCCTTAGCCACTATTGAGTCTATAGACCCAATCGCTTAGCCACGTGTCGGGCTCCGATACCAACCTCACGCCCGACGCGCCTTCCTGATCGGAGTGGGATGTGGGCCTGGAAGTGCGAAAAGGGGTGTGCCAAGGATTTTTGGAAAGTGGGGGTAGAGTCCCAGGTCCGAACAGAGATCTCCAGTGGCAAGGTTCAGGGGCATAGATGCAATAGAGCAATGGGAAAATTTACGGGCGCGGGCTTGCACGCTGGTTGTGCGGGGCCGTCTGATCCTGACGCGATCGCCAGTTCTGGGGAGCCTGTCGAGGCGGTCCTTGGAGCCTACGCCTTCGGGGCCCGCCACGTGGCGTGGGCTGGTGGGAACTATGCCGAGGTGCCGAGGCTTCGGGGGTTCGGGTATGGGCACGCCGCCTGGAGCTTCTGCACGGGGTGGAGGGCCAATAAGGTGCTATGGAATTCCATGGTACTACTGTAAGCTGATGATAGGGGAGGAGGAGGTGGTATGGTGGGAAATTAGTGGCGATAAGGACGAAGTCGGGGGTTATGAAATACTGCGTGTTGTACGTGTTTGGGTAGTCGGGTCCCCGCGGGTCGCTTCGTACGGCGAGATGGAATTCCCTAGCGCAGAATCTATCGTTTTCTGTTAGGCAGGGGAACACCGGGTTCCTCAAACTTCCCCGTAATCGGAGTTGCTCTTCTCCCCAGATTTCCTGGTACCCAAAATATGACCCGTAATCCTCGGAATTCCAAGATACGTCGAAACTCCGCGAGCTCGTCATTCTTTCATCACTCACGCCTTGGGGGATAAGTAATCGGGGAGATCACCGCTTGTAAGTGCGTAAGAGAGATGCGAACAAGTCGCACTTACGCGCACTTACGCGTGATGGGTAACCCGATCCCGATTGACATCGACTCCTACTTCAGCGAGGGGCTGGCTACGCGCGTTAGCCAAGACGCGATTGGCGAGTCCGAGTGGTATGGACACATGTAAGCCGCGCTCCGTCCGGATCGCACTTGCATGTGCCCATATGGTACGTCGGATGGTGCGCTCCAGACTCCCCGTACGACAAGCCAACACACTCTATTGATCACGCCAACATGCAATCCCCATTTTCATTCCTCATGTATGAGGGTTCACAGGAAACGATCAAAAACGAAAGGCGAGGGTGCGCGAACCATCCATACATCATTTGCAAAAGAGGATTCTGGAGAAGGAGAGATAAAAAAGAAAACATCGATGACGAACCAAATCGAACAACAGGACGAGTATATGGCCGCAAAGACAAGGGCGAATTG